GTAGATGTATTGTTCATTGTTTGTTCATGTTGGTAAATGCATTAATTAACATTAACTAATGAACCTTTTTGTAAAGTGTGACCAATATTATTTACTGTCATCATTGCCAAGATAAAATAAATCAGTTATTAGAAATGAGTTATTAAAACTATTATGTTTAGAAATGTGTTGCTCTCTCCGTTAAACAGAAATTGGGGAAAAAAATGAACAGGGGGGCTAATAATTCTGACTTTAACTGTATATACAATGTAATGTAATACAACGTTCTGCTTTTTCACAACCCAGAGTTAATGACCATAAAAATGTGGTTTTTGTATAATGTAACCATGATAAAGTAAATTAAATAAATAAATAAAATAACAATTAAAAAATAATTTTAAAAAACATAATAAAAGCAATTAATAAATACGGCTATAGTCCTCTTCTGCTTCAAGATCAATGGGCTATATGCACATGGACTTTTAATTTTAGCCAGCCAGCTTCAGCTTCTTTCCATTATAAAATTGACACGTTTAAGGTCTGATTTCTTCAAAAATCTGTGATCTTCACTGCCTGTTAGATTTACGATATGAAGTGGGTCTCAGACCGGACAAGTAGCACTGCGTTAAATTCCATTTCCCCCGCCATGTCTCTAAAATATGGCTGTTTATTCTACCCCAGTATTTTCAATGGAGTTTCTGTGCTCGCTGATACTGATGGTGCTAGAGTTTACATGGTCTTTCATCTCGTTTTACGCTTAAACTAAATTAATGTTTAAGTCTATTTAATTGAATGTATTTTAATTACATTAAAACATCAATGCTGGAAAAGGAACCTTATGAAATTGAAAATATTCACATTAAGCTTTCACCGGAAGTTTATAATTGACTGAAAAACACTAGCTGTACATTATGTCAACAAAAGTATCCATGTTTTGTAAAAAGATTTATGAAGACCGTCTTAATGAAACTTAATTTTTTCCAACTTTAATCACAAAAATATTTATTTTATTAATCTAACATATGAAGGTGGAGATGTATGTTTCCACATATGGAGAATAAGACCCCTAGCCAATAATGTAGCAAATTTAGCCTAAAAGGAATTCCCAGCAGTGCTGCTAAAGGGTTTGGAGTGCCTGATAAGTTTTTTTTCAAGAGTATCAAACATTTTAAACCCAAACTCTGACAATCTTGGAAAAGACCAAACATGTGAGTGTGACTTGCTGGAGATTTTATTTTTTTTACTTTAAAACTGAAATGAATGGGTATGTTGTAACTGTAACTGAGTCACCTAACATAATTCATATCACCTTTATTTGTATAGCGCTTTTACAATGTAAATTGTGTCAAAGCAGCTTCACATAGAAGATTATAGTAAATTGAAACAGAGTAGTTCTGTTGTCAGTGTTTAAGTTCACTTCAGTTTAGCTCAGTTCAGTGTGATTAATAATCGCTACTGAGAGTCCAAACACTGAAGAGCAAATCCATCGATGCGCAGCTCTACAGATCCCTAGCCATGCAAGCCAGTGGCGACAGCAGCGAGGAAAAAACTTCACCAATTGGCGAAAGTGAAGAATTAAAAAACCTTGAGAGAAACCAGCCTCACTTGGGCACGACCGTTTCTCCTAGACTCATTTGTCCCTGAAGCATCACAGGAATCAGTCTCATGCTCTCCACTCCTCCATGACCACCACAGCAGCTGCATAGGATACGGCCTGGTCCAGGATTATGGAAACCTTGGGATCATCTCGTCGCTGGTCTTGGATCGTATCAGTGGCGCTGCATAGTCTGAGGGCCTCGGGATGAGTATCCCTAGGTGGACATAGAGAATAAAGAGAACAATTAGTGTAGCTGCTCATAGTGTATATAAACAAGATGCAGAAACCTGTGTGGAGCGTATTCATGTATCATACCGCTAAGTAATGCACTGAGTGTAGGCTTTACTAAAAAAGATAGGTCTTTAATCTAGTTTTGAACAGTAAGAGTGTGTCTGAACTTCGAACATTATCAGCAAGGCTATTCCAGAGTTTAGGAGCCATAAATGAGAAGGCTTGACCTCCTTTACTTGAACCATTCTCCTTCGTACTTTCTGGGCAGAAATTGTTCAAATGGATATTCAGAACCTATGCAATTCTTAAAAATATCTTCAAAAAACTTATATAAACATGAATAACAAGCATTTTCTTAGATATAACTTTAGTATCTGTGACACAAATATACAAATTATTAGCTAAGTTAGTTGAACTACTCAGTATTTTGATCGACCAAGAAAGTTTCTTATTTACTAATTTTATTATTTCAATCACACAAAACGAGTCTATATATATACACACACACACACACACACACACACACACATTTATTATATATACATTTGCTCCCATATTATGGAAAAATGTTAATAATTTACAGTACGCAGTAAAGTTATAGATTTTATAGCCTATCGTAAACTGTATGAGCCAGGCAGCCAGTAAATATTGTTTTTTCTGTTCATTCTGTTCTTCACACACACTTCACAACTATATACCTGTTTATGTAGGACTGGTTTGAATTAATCTCACAGATTCAAAAACAGTATTACAGCACATAATGGCTCTTTCTGCATCATCATTAACATAACACTATAAACAATCTAGGCGGCACGGTAGCTTAGTGGTTTGCACTTGTCGTCTCACAGCAAGAAGGCCGCTGGTTTGAGTCCCGGCTGGGCCAGTTAGCATTTCTGTGAGGAGTTTGCATGTTCTTCCCATTTTGGTGTGGGTTTCCTCCGGGTACTCTGGTTTCCCCCACAATCCAAAGACATGCGTAATAGATGAATTGAATAAACTAAGTTGGCTATAGTGTATGAGCGTGTATGATTGTTTCCCAGTACTGGGTTGCAGCTTGAATGGTGCTTAAAACATATGTTGAAATAGTTTATGCCGCTATGGCGACCTTTGAATAGAGACTAAGCCGAAAGAAAATGAATGACTGACTGACTGAATGAATGAATGAATGAATGAATAAATGAATGAATGAATGAATGAATGAATGAATGAATGTATGAATGAATGAATGAATGAATGACAACATTTTTTCCCTCTGAGTCTTTCATGTAAAAACATCAGTCTACAGGCTTTTACAGACATTTTGAATCCAGGGACAGTCTTGATCACTTATGTTTTGTTATAAACTGCTCATGGAAATACATTGGTGATTAAAATGATTAAATTGTTATATGCATGGCCACTTTAAGCCACAATGAAGTATTAAAGTTCTACAAATGTATAAACCTCAGTACTTACTTAATTGTAACTTTCTAAGCAAACTGGCAGTCAGATACACTCATTCATTCATTCAGTCATTTATTCAGTCATTCATTTTCTTTTCGGCTTAGTCCCTTTATTATTCAGGGGTTGCCACAGTGGAATGAACCACCAGTCAGATACACTATAAAAAGCAATTTTTTTTGCTCTACTAAAAAAATGTGTAAACCTATTGTGTAAATTTGACAATTCGTCATTGGAAATGTTGTAACTTGGAAGTGTTAAGTAATGCACATACACTCACCGGCCACAGTCCAACTGTTTGGTTACTCACACACATGGCAACAACTCAATGCATTTAGGCATGTATACATGGTCAAGACAATCTTCTGCAGTTTAAACCGACCATCAGAATGGGAAGAGAAAAGTGATTTAAGTGACTTTGAACTTGGCATGGTTGTTGGTGCCAGACTGGCTGGTCTGAGTATTTCAGAAACTGCTAATCTACTGGGATTTTCACACACAACCATCTCTAGAGTGTACAGAGAATGGAGAAAAAGAGAAAATATCCAGTGAGCGGCAGTTCTGAGGGCGCAAATGTCTTGTTGATGCCAGAGGTCAGAGGAGAATGGCCAGACTGGTTTCCCCTGATAGAAAGGCAACAGTAACTCAAATAACCACTCGTTACAACTGAGGTCTGCAGAAGAGCATTTTTGAACACACAACATGTTCAACCTTGAAGCAGATGGGCTACAGCAGCAGAAGACCACACCAGGTGCCACTCCTGTCATTCCAACTGGAAACTAAGGCTACAATTCACACAGGCTCTCCAAAATTAGACAATAGAAGATTGGAGAAATTTTGCCTGATCTGATGAGTCTCGATTTCTACTGCGACATTCGGATGGTAGGGTCAGAATTTGACATCAGCAACATGAAAGCATGGATCCATCCTGCCTTGTATCAATGGTTCAGGCTGCTGGTGGTGGTGTAATGGTGCGGGGGATATTTTCTTGGCACACTTTGGGTCCATTAGTACCAACTGAGCATCATGTCAATGACACAGCCTACCTGAGTATTGTTTCTGACCATGTCCATCCCTTTATGGCCACAGTGTACCCATCTTCTGAAGACTACTTCCAGCAGTATAACGCATCATGTCATAAATCCTGAATCATCTCAGACTGGTTTCTTGAACATGACAATGAGTTCACTGTACACAAATGGCCTCCACAGTCACCAGAACTCAGTCCATTAGAGTGCCTTTGTAATGTGGTGAAACAGGAGATCTGCATCATGGATGTTCAGCCGACAAATCTGCAACAACTGTGTGATGCTCTCATGTCAATACGGACCAAAATCTCTGAGGAATATTTCCAGTACCTTGTTGAATCTGTCACGAAGGATTAAGGCAGTTCTGAAGGCAAAAGGGGGTCCAACCTTGTACTAGTATACCAAATAAAGTGGCCGGTGAGTGTAGTTCATTGTTTGCTCACATTTACTTGTGGCTTTTTATAGCTTTTTTTGTTTTGTTTTGATTTATCAAAGGATTTTATTTTGTAATGGATTACATACCTTTCCTTTTTAAACCGATTTAAAGTTTCTCAGTTTAGGATCATTTGGATTGATCAAAATGGCTAATTTCACGGCTGGACATTTGGCTGACAGTGACAACTGCTCTGAAATGCTTGCAAACCCCCTTTACATAAAATAATTTGTGAAATACATATTTGCTCACTGGCAAACATAACAAGGACGTTGTAAAAAAATACATCACAATTGCTCAAGCCATTTATTTATATAATTATAAGAAAGCAGCCCAAAGTATTAACAAAATTGAAAAGACACTGAAATGCGCACAGATCTTTGTTTATACAGAAAGAGAGACAGATCAGTGGTAACACCACTTTTATAAAAAGCAAAATATGTGTAATTAATCTCATTTAATCAGTAAAGTAATCTGCATTTTAGTAGAATATGACATTCGCAAAGAATATAAAATAACTACGATTATTTTGTGTGCTCATTTTATCATGCAGCACCAGCAATGTCATCATCCAGAAGTGGCTTTCCATGTTCTAGATCCTCCTGTAAATCCCACACAAAAAAATAACATAAACACACAGAAATAATCAAGATCACAGCGGATTGAACAGTGTGTTTGATGCATTACCTTTGCATTCTCGGTTTTCTTGCACAGAGTTTTCAAAGTCAAAACACAGAGACTGATGGCCACGCAGAGCTGAAGCACCGACAGCACGATCATCATGATATCCAGACCTCCGCAGATCATCTACACATGGGAAAAGATCACGTGTGTCAGCTTATTAAAAGGAAATTTTAATAAAATCATATTCTTAAAAAAAATCCTTACCTTATTGAGATTGTTGTAGTACTCACAGATCACCTGTCTCTGGCTCTCTTCAGGGGTCGGTGTTCTACTCTCATAAGATTGATAATAATAATAAGATCGACAGTATTGATCATGACCATATGAAAGGTCTTTTGCATACAACACAATAGCAGCGATGGCCAGTCCAGCGCTGATCATGTTTAATAGCATTCCTATGATCAGCTGTAAAACACAAATATAACGTTAGACATAGTAAAGAGTACTAAATAAGGCTATCATGATTGTCAATGATGAGACACTTTTATCATACACCTTCCAATTGTTACCATCAAGTCATCGATATTGTGTTGCTAGATGTGTAAGAAATAGGACAAAATGATCATTTATACCTTTAGCAATTACGTTTTTTAATTTCTCCTCTCTCAGTAGTATTTGATGACCAGTAAACTGGATATTTATGTAGATTATGACCATGTTTTTATATGATTTATTTACATAAATGCCAAATGTGGAATTTCAGATGTGTTGGCATGGGTTTCCTTTGGGTGCTTTGGTTTCCCCTACAGTCCAAAGACATGCTCTATAGGTGAGTTGAATAAACTAAATTGGCCATAGTGTATGTGTGTGTGAATGAGAGTGTGTATGGGTGTTTCCCAGTACTGGGTTGCAACTGGAAGAGTAAAGCATATGTTGGATAAGTTGGGGATTCATTCCTCTGTGGTGACCTCTGACAAATCAGGGACTAAGCCGAAGGAAAATGAATGAATGAAATATGTTGATGTACTTCCAATTAAATATTGAGTAGGGGCGGGGCTTTATTTTTGCTCTTCATTCCATCGTAGCAAACTAACAGTAAAGGGGGCGCGGTTACAAATATAATATAGGTGTAAAAATTGTATAATTGAACAAAATTAAAATTACCTATGAATTTTGATCTTTTTTTACAGTGCAAATGTAGAAAATATGTGTGTAAAAAGAGACTGAAATGTCAAATTCTTCTAAACTTACCAGACAAGAAGAGGGAAACTTCGCTACAAGAATACAGACAACGCCAATTCCAAGGACCTAACAGACAACAGCAAAGAAACTTAAACCTTTTTTAAAACAAATATCTATGTGTTCACTTATTAAACTAGACCTAATGAGACCCAAGTCTTACCACACCACCAATCCAAAAGGGTCCCTGGCCCATGTAAAACATGTTTTCATAATATCCAAGGCACATTAACAAAGTCCCCATTGCAATATTGAGGACGCCAATGATCATCTGCACAATCTATGAAACAACAAAATGAGAATTTAGTCAACAGTATGCACAATGACATAGGGTCAATCAAAAGTATTTTATTTGTGATTTTGCATTCACTTATTGATATTTATAGCATATATATAAACAATGTTCGGTGTCACTTTATTTTGATGGTCCCTTTACCACATTTTGTTGAATTTAAGTTACATTGCACCTACATGCCAGCTAGTTTTTTATAATAAGTTAAATGTCTGTTGAAGGAGCAGTATCAGCACATATTAAGCAGACAGTCTACTAATACTCAACTGAGAAGTAGTTGGCATGTGGTTTAAACGCAACTTTTAGTCCACAAAATGTGCAATAGAGACCATCAAAATAAAGTCTTACCCAATGTTCTTTTCTTTTTTGTAACATTAAGGTATCTTAAAATACAGCTGAAATTATCACTTGTAAACTCTTTCTCTGGATTTATAATAAATGTTTTTTTTTTATTCTATACAATGTCATTTAAACATTTGTTTAGCAAGAAATCATAATAATAATAATAATAATAGTTTTACAGTATGGTGAGCTCTGCTCTGACATGCAAGGGCGTAGATTTGCTTTTGATATTGGTGGGGAAGGACAGCGCAAATTCAGTTTCGCACTTTTAAACACATGGATAAAGACTTTAAACACTTAATAATACAAATATCAATTAATGAACGCAGTGGCTATTTGCACTAAGTGTAAATAGCCCGCCTTGTTGGCAGAGGCTATTTACAGTAACTCCGCCAACAGTAGGTTTAACCAAGGTCAAAACTGTTTTGCAGATATGACAGAAATGAAGTCAAACTTTAATCAGTGAATCTTGTAATGCTTTTATTAATGGAGTTATTTAATCCTCTGTTTTAATTCAGTTACTGTTGCTGTACAGTTTTATTTCTTGTTCTTTTCTTCAGTGATTGTGCTTGTCTACAGTAGGTGTTCATCAGTGTCAGAATTCACTCGTTTGGTCATTCACTCTGTTTAGTAGACTATACTATGGTGAGATTTCAGACACTGATTACTTTCTCGAAAACAAAGGTTAGGTCTGTTACAGTTATTTTCTATATTTTGTCCATTTTGAGCTGTTAAACATTTGACAGGGTTTTCACTGTAGATTGTACAGACTTTTACTGTTAAAATCATGGACTTTTTTTACAGATTATACTGTATATATAATAGATATATAATATATAATAGAATATTCTATTTTGTGCTCACGTTAAAGCAGTTGTTCTGGCTAAAATATTTGTGTATGTAAAATGTTAATTTAAAGGTTACTGATGTAACTGTATACGCAGACAACATGTTGAAACAACAAAAAAAAGTAAGTAAGTTAAATTATACTCCTAAGTAGCACTTAATGAGCAAGTTGTTTCGATTAATCAAATATATTAAGTTCAATTCACTCAAAGACTATAAAAAGTCACACAAACTCAAACTATTTGAGTTAGTAGAACTGTTTTAGAAAATTGAGTTCATGCAACTCAATCAATTTAATTATGTTGAACATTTTGGTCTACAGTGTAGTGTAAATACCATGTTTTAGCTAAATGGCATAAACCAAATAATAAAATCTAGTTAATCAAGTCCTATAGTGCAGTGTATGAATACTTTTTAGTGTAAATAGCATACTTTTAGTAACACTGCAATAGCATCTACCTTCTATAAACACTAAAAGTTTAAATGGCATACACTTTCTATAAGCACTAAGTGCAAAAAGCATCTACCATACTTTATGTTGCTATATTGTGCAGCATCTGATGCTGTTTCAACTTAGTGTAAATATCATCTCTTGCTTAATAAAGCACGTCCTGTGCTGCAAAATTCAATTTGCTGCAATCTGACTTTGAGGAGGGATGAATGTTCAGAAATTTAGAGAGGCATGTGATGCAATTCAACCATTATATCCCTATTGTCTATTTTATATGTCTATGTGTTTAACCCTTTGAGCACATGTAGATTTCTAAGAGTTGACAGAGCATTATTTTTTTTTAAGGCGATTAAATTATTGGTGGGAACATTTCGGTAATTGCTGGATATTAGCGGGGACACGTCCCCTCTGACCATGCCAATTCTACACCCTTGCTGACATGCACTTTCCCTTTGGGGTCTAAATTAAACTAAAACTAAACTACACATAACATGTTTATATTGATTTTACACGGAATGTTTTTCTTGACCCTAAATTACAATATTTTTATTTGATATTACAAATATTAACATTTTACTCAAACCCCCCATTAATAAAGTCAGTAATCTCTTAATTTAAAAAAGTTGTCCACAGGTAAAACCAAAGTACAACTAAGCTGAAACATTACTGAATGTTGTAAAAATATTTTTAATCACCTCACACCTTTTGCATTGTATTTTAAAATAAATCAATCTAAAGTAACCTTAAAGACAAAACAAAAAAACTAGACAATATCAGAAACTGACCCCGAGACCAATGTGGATGTTCGCCAGCTCTCCGATCATAATCCGAGACACAGAGCACACTGGACTGTAGCACAGATAACCCAGAATCTGGCACAGTACGGGCCATTTACTCTTTGGGTTTGAGTTGACCATGACAATCGTCAAACCTTCGTCCTGAGATATGGTCAGAGGCATGTTGTAGACAGGTGTGATGAACTTCCCACAGGTAACAACCGCCGAATCTCCCGTTTCTTTACTGCAAGAAACAATTTTAAGTACAACAAATGGTCATTTTTGCAGCAGGGCCATCTCTGTATATTTATTATACCAGAAGAAAACAGTAACACTTTCAAAAAGAATCAAAGTTAAGCATTTTAACTATTATGATAGCATGTAAATCCCATATTAACTAATTTAATTGATTATTAAAATCATAATTGCAGAATTAAACGATTTAGTTCACCCAAGAATTAATATTCACTCGTTATTTACTCACTCTCAAGTAGTTCCAAACTTTTATTAGTTTCTGTTGAAACACAAATGAAGATATTTTGAAGAATGTTGTAAATCAATAGCCATTCACATCGATAGTAGGAAACAACATTCAGACCCTTAGCCAGCATTTTAAAAGGAGTGGCTACATTTTTGTCAAAGAGCTTTTCATACAATTTAATGTTTAAAAAAATGTGTTTATTTACAAATGTGCATTTAAAATGTAAAAATAATGTATTAAGATTAGAATTTTAAATTAAACCTTTTGAATAAAGAAAAATAATATTTTTTTTAATTGCTAATTTATTATCATCCATCATTAAAAAAAACTATTAGGAATCTGTTGTAAACTTTTTAAATTCAAAAGCCTCTAGGCAAACAACAAACTGGCCAGCTCATTTCCTTACTCCGAATTTGTCCATTTAAATAATAATTAATAATTACATTTGTCTTAAAGCTTTCTTCTATCGGTTATTTTCAACAATTTATAATGACATACTGTCAAAAATCTGACAAATGAGCTCACGAATGGGCCAAATCTGGACTTTTTCTGACATTTCCCAGACTTCAAAATATCTTCTTTTGTGTTCAACAGAAGTGTAAATTATGACAGTTTTTTATTTTAGGCTGAACTACCCCTTTAACATTTGAAATCTCCGTAACTTCCTATGAATTTTATAGAAAGTTTGTGCAACAGTCCTAATGTATTATTTATGAACCACAGGTTTTTTCATCACTCTTAACATCGTTGTCCTATTTTGCTCAGTTTTGTGAAAAATGTAGTTTATCATCTTTAAAACAAAGTGTTAGGTTAAACTCACCTTTTATGGCACGTCTGTATGGCACGTCTCAGTCGGTCCACAGTGAATATGACATGACTCTGCTTTTGTTTTATTGCCTATTTTTTGAAGGAGTGGTCTCAGTTTTTCCCAGCAATAGATTCTTTGTAAATATAAATAGACGAGGGGTCAAATGTCCACGACCTGAATTGCTGTTTTGTGTGCTGAACGCAACTTTTATCATCACAGCACAATATTAAGAGTAATTCTTCAACTACAGGCACTTTTATTTCCTTTGATCATACATCCAAAAATATATAGAATTTTGTTCAAAATCCTCTTTCTTAGTCAAACTAACTATAATAAACCTACTTTAAAATAAATTACCTTTCTATTATATTTTCCCATATTATTCAACGTCCTTTTAGGGCTCAAAATCACTGTTTTCACCTTGCCGCACACCCAGAGTTTTAAACTTCAACAATGAAAATAACATTTTAAAATATTATCTGGTATCTATTAATGTATCTTAATTAAGCACTAGTGAAATAATTTAAATATTTTATAATTATTAATGTGAGACTGTTATCAATATAACTTTTTATAGAAAATATAGCTGTCGCACAGTATCAGTGTCATTTCCACCACAACACTGTCGTGTTGCTTTAGAAAGTTTGTGTGAAAGACTATTTCGGTGGTTTCCATGAAAGTGAATAGTGCCATCTGAGAACATCTTCAAGATGGAGGGAATTTAATTTTTTTATCAACAACACTTGAAGCAAAATCAAGATAAATATTGCTTGATAAGGAAAAAAAATATCTACATCATTTCCAAACAAGTTGTACATTCAAAAATGTTTTTATAAAACCAAACAAAATTAAGGTGAATAAGAGTGTTTTGTATACATGAAAGGTTAGTAGCAATACAAAGCTAATCGCTGAAGCTATTTTTTATTTTTTCACAATAAACTGTTGAAATGTCATTTCCTGCACTGTCATTCCCATCACCACACACATTTTTTAACAAATATTTTAAAAGTTCTCATCACACATTAAAAGTGTATTCCCAATGTATAAGTTCATGCTCTATTTAATAAACAAAGTCAGTTTATTTATTTTCTAATAAGCTCTTAACCAAAATAATATTTAATTTTAGAGTGTGACAGGTGTTCAATTCAGCATACAACTGATTTATTTCATTGACAAATGTATAATTATTATATATTGTGGAAAGATTGGTTAAACTAGATACAAAAATGATCTCAGACAATGTTGGACTACCATAATTTAATTCATTTTGAAAAAAAAAAAGTTGTATAATAAGATGTGGTGTAATTTGTTTAGTTCACGATGAAAAAATGTTCCTCTTCTTATCTACGTTTGTCCTCTTACAGATCTTAAAACTAGACATATTGTTTAAACTTATGAGGCTATGTTACGTTCATTTTGAACAAGTTTTAAAAGAAGGCTAAAAGTGCCCAAAGTTGAAGAATGGCTCTTAAATATTTTCTACAGCAGCGGTTCTCAAAGTTTTTTCATCAAGTACCACCTCAGAAAAAAATAATCTCTCCAAGTACCCCCAAAATGAGCAGCATTGAAATACAGTAGCGTAGTAGGCCCAGTAAAGCAGCTACAACTCTGCAAATTAAAAAAAAAATGTGGCAGATTACCTCAGAAATATAGGCTATATGTCATATATGGCATATTATATACATCTATTTTAATAAATTCTGAAATGTGTGTAGCATGTACATGGCATATTTCATTCCTCTGCGTACCACTAGAAGGAAGCCTGCGTACCACTAGTGTACACGTACCACAGTTTGAGAACCACTGATCTACAGTATGTACAGTACAATAAACATTTTGGAAATGTCGTTTTTGTGTATGTTTTCTGAACATTATAAAACAAGTAGCATATAAGCAACATTATACTGTTGGACATTTTATTGTTTCTTTGTGGTAACTTACTGCCAGCCACAAGTTACCTCAACTTACATGCAAATGTGTTTTACAGTAGCAGGGCCCTGTTGCAATTTCATTTTTGTTTTTAAAGAAAATAGCCTTAACGCAAATTCTTTATATGGTAAAATCCTCTTTACAGCATTTCAATTTTACAGTAGGACAATTTTTACGCTAGTTTTGTTGTAATTCATTTACATTTTACACTAGCAGTACAAAACCTTTATTTTTAGTATTTATTATCAGAGTTGGGTGTAATGTGTTTCACAGCATTAATGCGTTACTGTATTCTAATTACATTTTGGGGGAACACAACAATGTATCAGATCACTTTTTAAATTTGTGTAATCTGATTACAGTTCCTAAAGTCAGTGTAATTGCGTCTTATGTTACAATTACAGTTTTTAGAAGAAAAAAAAAGCTTATTTTATATCACATTTTCTAAGTCAATGTCAGGTAATAAGCATGCGCTTTTAAATTGCTGGAGAACGTGAGCTGAAATGGTTGCCGTCGTGAGTGGCTGCTTCTTTAAGTGAAAATGCAGATATCAGTTTGATTTCATGGAATGATAAAACAAAAACATGTTAAATGCTGTCTATGTCCACTCTCTAAAGAACTTTTAACTTGACCAGTAACTTGTTCAAGCACTTAAACAGAAAGCATTCTAGGAAAATACTCACCAAGGAGGACACCGGCGCCCAAAACTCGGCGGCCCAACTCAGCCTAAACAGGTTAAATTGGATTTTTGTGCAGGATCAGGAGTGAAGATATTTTCTGAATGTGAAGTGAAGTGTAGCTGCTTATGGGGCTGTTCACATATTGCGCGTGCTCGCATTTTACAGGCGCACCAGTTAAAAACCGCGACCGGTTAGCTTGATATTTTAAAACGTAAGTATTTTACGTTTTGCCAATTTAGTGGCTAATTCATACGAATTCGCACGAGTTCAGTCGTATGAAATTGTACGATTTTATAAAGGAGGCGTGGCACCTAACCCCACCCCTAAACTCAACTGTCATTGGAGGATGAGCAAATCGTACTAAATTGTACGAATTAGATCTTACGAAATCATACGAGTTACCCACTAAATCGAAAAGTTACGAATTGCCGTGAGATTGTGATGGACAAGCACACAACACCCAAATACTGCCATGCTTTTTTATATGGATGTCAGTAATTACAGGTATCCAGTTTTCTTTTAAATGTCTTATTTTGTGTTAACAAAACGGCAAACAAGTTTGAAACAAGTGAATGATGAGAGTGTTTTAAGTTTTGGGTGAACTCTTTAAATATTTTAAGTATGTCAAGCTGATGTGATCAACCCATTTTAATATTTTTAAGTGAATATTAAACTACTTCATTTTGTATTTTATAGATATATTTAATTTTTAAAAAGTAACTACAAAGTAAAGTAATTAGTAATGTGACTACTTTTTACATTAAGTGATTACTAATGTTATCAGATTACAATTTTCCAGACAGTAATTTGTACTCTATTACTTTTTTAAAGTAAATTACCCAACACTGTTTCTTATTAAATTTAAGCTATATTAAATATTTAAAATATTATATTAAATCTAAACAAGTGACTAGTTTTTTTATATCAACTGTCTTTTCTCTTGATTACTTTGATCACAGTAGAACATCGCAAACTCCAAATATTCAGTAAGTTGCTGTAAAAGTTTTAAAATGACCCAAAATGCAGTGCATTCAATTGTAAAGAATGTACGTGGAATTTTGTTGACCGTTTTTGCAGTAAATAACTCTAGAGTTGCCACATCCAAGTGAAGTAGACCAAATGAGCCTCAAATCTAGACATCATGTCGAGATCAAAAGAGATTAAAAAACGAATGAGATTCAGGTATGAGTTTGTTATTTCAGGTATTGATGACTAGCCAGAGATGGGTAATAATATAGTACAAACACTTTGTTATTAAGTATATTTTTCTGGTATTAGTATTTGTTTTTCTGACAACTTTTTACTTTTACTCCTTACATTTTTAACCCGGCTTGTTAGTTTTGATTTATAATGTGTATTTCACATGTACCAATTAAAGTTTTAGATGGCTAATGAGACAGAAGGAGTCGATGAGGTAAACATGACTGAAGCTGCCTTGTTTACACCGGTTAATAAGATGTGCTTTAGTTGAAAAAGTAGAAAACAAGTAGGTCATAAAATAGGTTATTTGTTATATTATAGAAAAATAATACATAAAAAATCTATTAACAAAGCAAAAGTAAGTGTTAAATCAGGGACATTTATTATTTGTAAAGATATAAGCCTACAGAATAATTCTTGAAGAGTCTATAAACATGAATGGCAGCTGTTGTTCTTGATCTAAAAGCAGCAAAACTACATTCTGAATGCTGAGTTTGTGTCAAGCTGATGATACACAGGACACTAAGGGCGATGTTCCTTGGCTACTCTTCTACTGAAAATATAGAAACCACATTTTTACATCAAAATTAAAATGCAGGTTATAAATGTTTCAATATGATTTGAGGTCTTGTTACCACAGCACAGGAGGGGGTAATGGATACTTTGAGGCCATTTACTTTTACTTGAGTAAAAAAAGTGTAGTCAGTACTTCAAATTTTCCCAGAGGCATTTTAAACATGAGTCTCTGTACTTCTTGAATAAAGGATGTGTGTTCTTTTGCCACCTCTGTGAACAACCCCCTCTTTACTGGAAATCCACAGAATGAGGAAATGATCCCACACACATTCAGTCCTTCCTTAAACTATTGTTTTTTTTTGTGATTACGCGCCCTCTAAAGGTGGGAATTACACACTGCGCCTTTAAAAGTACATTGTGAATGTGTGATTATGAAGTAATTGAGGATATTATAGGTCTATGTAAGGCTAAAGTTTAAATTGATTCTTTTCCTTGAATGATTTACTGACATCACAGTACAAAACAGCGTTTTCAGCATTATTCCTAAAATACTCTAAAAAATGCTGGGTTCCTCACAATCGCTCTGTTGGGACAACATGAAGGATTTAAGTTTGAAAGATTTAAGTGGATTGCACATAAAACAATTAAGTTGTCACAAAAAACTCTAGAATTGTTGTTGCAGCTCATTTTAAATAGGTAGATTGAATAGTTATTTTTTGAGTGCTTATTACATCATAAAATGAAGGAAAGGTTAACATTTACATTTAGTAATTTAGCAGACACTTTTATCCAAAGCGACTTACAAAGGAGGACAAGAAAGCAATTTACACAACTATAAGAGCAACAATGAATAAGTGCTGTAGACAAGTTTCATGTGTGTAAGGTCTAAGAAGGTTCTCGAGGAAGTGTGTAAATTACTTTCCCCCTCTAAAATCCTTCTAAAAACATCAATCTCCAGGCATTCACAGACATCTGATGCCAGAGACGGTCTTGTTCTTTTATGTTTTATTATAAGCTGTTGCTTTATTGACAATACAATAGTGATTAAAATGATTAAGTTCTTATATGTTTATTTAAGCCACAACAAAGCAACAGAATATCCAGTAAAACCTTAGAGATGTGCATTTACTTTACATAAATAAATCAGCATGGCATAGAGGGTGAATAGCTATAGGTGAATTTGGGTGAGCTAAACTGACTGTAGTGTATGAGGTCATGTCTGAATGAGGGAGTGTATGGGTGTTTCCCAGTACTGGGTTGCAGCTGTGTTATTTGCCATTTTACATGTTAAATCTTATAAAATTAATTCCTTTCTATGTAAACTGCCAGTTTGGGTGTAGATTGTACCGGTTTTCAACCAGTTTTGAGAAGACTAATTGCTGTGTAATGTTTTATTTTTATAAGTTTTGATAAGACTGCTAAAAGTAAACTCAGCCTTGGTAAGAATTTGTGTGTGTGTGTGTGTGTGTGTGTGTGTGTGTGTGTGTGTGTACATGTTTTTGTGACATATCAGGACACAAATCTCTATAATGACATGGGTATGACACAGGTATTACAAAAAAAGGTGAAATATGAGAACATTGGTGACGTCCTCATTTCTCATAAAGCTTATAAATCCCACAGGATGAGTTTTTTTTTTGAGAGTAAACCCGTTATAGTTGGGTATAGGGTAGTGTGGTATGAGGGCAATAAGGTTTGAACAGTATAAAATGAATGGAAACCGTAATGTACCCCTATATGTTTGTGTGTATGCGTGCGTGCATGCGTGTGTGTGTGTGTGTGTGTGTGTGTGTGTGTGTGACTGTGTATGTGTGTGTGTTATATTCATTTTTAGATCATTTCACAGGTCTGGGGTCAGCTCTGAAGTTGTTGTCTGATGTTTGGATGCTTGAGATATTGTACACACGCACATGGACATTTTCTAGAGTTTTAACCAATCAGGTTAGTGAGTGTTAAAGCTGGCTTCTGCTGATGAAACTGCAAACTATCTTCATTAAACTTTCTTTAATTGAATCTCTGACTCCCGCTCTTTGTCATCTGACAGACTTGCTTTAAACGGTATAATGTACTTACATTTTACACAAGGACGTCACATTTCGTCCAAGTCATTTAATTTTTATTATAATAAGAAAGCATCCTAAAATATTGCAACAAAACTAGATTAGTATCAGTATTAAAAGTAACACCACTTTAAGAAAGGAAAACATGTGTAATTAAGGTCGTTTATCAGTACAGTTTTTCAGATCAAAAAGAAGAAATCTGCTTTGATGTATTTTAGTACAACATCCCATTCTATTGCAAGCAAATAAAATAACTCAGCAAGTATTTTCTGTTGCTAAAAGATGTCTAATAAACGTAAAAAACAGTCATCTCAGCTAATACAAGGCTAAACTTGGGCTGTCAGTGAAATCTAATAAACTTCTAAGAATAGGCCAAAACTAAACTAGTTATCAAATAAACAGAAATAAATGACTACACATATAAAGTCTGTCTAATCTGTCTATTTGACGACTGGTCTAGTTTTGGGCCATTGTTCTTCTTGATTTTCACAGAAAGCCCAAGAAAGCCCAAGATGTCTATTAAACACACAATTGTTTGCTGGGAACTGATTATTTTCAGTGTTCTTCTTTTTATGCAACACCAACAGCGTCATCGTCCAGAAGTGGCTTTTTAAGAAATGGATCCTCCTGTAAAACCACAAACAAACATGAACACATAGAAACAATCATGATCACGGGATTTAACTGTGTGTGATTCAATACCTCTTCATCCTCAGTCTTCTTGCACAGAGTTTTGCCAGTCAAAACACAGAGACTGATGGTGACGCAGATCTGAAGCACAGACAGCACGATCATCATGATATCCAGACCTACGCAGATCATCTACAGATGGAAAAAAAAAACCACAATGTCAGCATGTTAAAAGGGGAAAATGTCATGAAATCATAAGGAACCACTGATATAAAAAGAAAAGAAACAAAGAAACACTTATAAAGTGCATCCGAAAAGTATTCATAGCGCTTCACTTTTTCCACATTTTTTAATGTTACAGCCTTATTCCAAAATGGATTCAATTAATTTTTCAACATTCTACACACAATACCCCATAATGACAATGTAAAAAAAAGAGTTTTTTTAAATTCTTGCATATTTATTAAAAATCAAAAACCTGAAATGTACAGAAGTATTCACAGCCTTTGCTCAATACTTTGTTGATGCACCTTTGGCAGCAATTACAGCCTCAAGTCTTTTTGAATATGATGCCACAAGCTTGGCACACCTGTCTTTGGGAATTTTTGCTCATTCCTCTTTGCAGTACCTCACAAGCTCTATCGGGTTGGATTGGAAGTGACAGTGTACAGCCATTTTCAGATCTCTCCAGAGATGTTCTATAGGATTTAGCTCTGGGCTCTGGCTGGGCCACTCAAGGACATTCACCGAGTTGTTGTGAAGCCACTCCATTGATATTTTGGCGGTGTGCTTTGGGTCATTGTCCTGCTGGAAGATGAACCGTCACCCCAGTCTTACGTCAAGAAGCAGGTTTTCATTCAGGATGACTCTTATCATTGCTGCATTCATCTTTCCCTCTATCCTGACTGGTCTTCCAGTTCCTGCTGCTGAAAAACATCCCCACAGCATGATGCTGACTCTACCATGGTATTAGCCTGGTGATGAGCGGTGCCTGGTTTTCTCCAAACGTAACGCCTGGCATTCACTCCAAAGAGTTCAATTTTAATCTCATCAGACCAGAGAATTTTGTTTCTTATGGTCTGAGAGTCCTTCAGATGCCTTTTGGCATTTCCAGGCAGGGAGTGTCTTCCGTCTGGCCAGTCTACTATACAGGCCTGATTGGTGGATTGCTGCACAGATGGTTGTCCTTTTGTAAGGTTCTCCTCTCTCCACAGAAGAATGCTGGAGCTCAAACAGAGTGACCATCGGGTTATTGATCACCTTACCGATCACTTAGCTTAGATAGCCGGCCAGCTCTAGTAAGAGTCCTGGTGGTTCAAACATCTTCCACTTTTGGATGATGGAGGCCAATGTGCTCATTGGAACTTTCAGAGCAGCAGAAATGTATTTGTAACCTTCCCCAGCCTTGTGCCTCAAGACATGTCTGTCTCGAAGGTCTACAGACAATTCCTTTGTCTTCATGCTTGGTTTGTGCTTTGACATGCACTGTCAACCCTGGGATCTTATATATAGATCACATAGACAGGTGTATGCCTTTTAAAATCATGTGTAATCAACTGAATTTACCACAGGTGAACTCCAATTAAGCTGCTGAAACATGTGAAGAATGATCAGTGGGGACAGAATATACCTGAGCTCAATTTAGAGCTTCACAGCAAAAGCTGTGAATAAAACTTGTGGTGTATAGATTGGAACTTCTAACTTCTTGTATTTAATACAGAACTCCTATTAGTAAAACAATTGGTTCAAACTTTCATGTATCCCCTCAGCTGTAAAGCTTTTAAATTTAGGGTAGATTTGTATTGCACAATGTTCAATGAAGAAACACTTGTATGTTGTTATTTTTGGAGTTGAATGTTATACAGAAATGTAATCCTTACGTTGAAGAGATTGTTGTAGTACTGACACATCTCCAGTCTCATACTCTCTTCAGGGGTCGGCGTTCTGTAGCGGTCATAGCTTGAATAGTAATAGTTAGTATCATAGGTCCTACATGTCCAGTCTCGATAATGTCCAAATGAAAGGTCAAGTGAATACAACGCAATAGATGTGATGCCCAGTGCAGCGCTGACAATGTTCATTAACATTCCTATCATCAGCTGTGAAACACAAACAAAAACATACATTAATAATTATGTAAATCTAATATGGTCAATTATGCTGTAAAACAGAATCAAGTGAACTCTTCAAGTCATTTCAACTTATACACTGATAAAACTGACTTAAAGGGGACCTATTATGCCCCCCCCCCCTTTTTTAAAGATTATTTTATTTATTTATTTGTTGATTTAACAGGCAAAATACACTTGACATTGTTATACAAACCGATGCTGCTTAAAGCTGAAACTTATTTGAAGCCCTCGTCCCTGGTTAGGCTTTACACCAACGGTCTCAAACTGAATTCCTGGAGGGCCGCAGCTCTGCATAGTTTAGCTTTAACCAGCTCCAACTCACACTTGCTTAGTAGTAGACTCCAACACCTTGATGAGTTGGATCAGCTGTGTTTAGGGGCGTACTGGCCATCTGGCAGACCGGGCAGTTTCCTGCTGAGCCGACGTACTTTTTAGGCCGGGCTGAATGGCCAATAAAACACTTAGCAGGCTGTCGTGTTTTTTTGCCTAAGTGAATGATAATCCTGTGAGCTGTCACGCTCTGAAAGTAAGATGTTTCTTTTCCGGACAGACGGGCCCATGTGACAATCTGCAGCCCATTGGTTCTTTTCTTTATTGACATTAAGCTGACCCAATCACAAACTTCCACTTTGGGCTCTGTGTAAGCGTGCAACATCGGTGTGTATTTGTCAAAATAGTCGAGAGTCAGGCTTGCTTCTCACCTCACGCGTGCGTATGGAGAGCAAAAGCGGCAAGCAGGCGTTTGCCTTTTGCGTCTGCAGCGTGCAGCATATCGACTGTTGCACAGATCAATATATTCCTGTCTATTCTATCTAGTTACCTATCTGTCTATATAAATATACTTTTGCCCACGGCAGCTTCCTCTTTTGCTGTTTCCTTAACCTGCAAGTCTTTATTTTACAAATTGTATACATCATACAGAATGTATGCTTCTCAAGCTATGTGAGGAGTGTCATTCATGTATTTTAAGATGCACTAAGAAGACAATTGCATGAGATATCATGACATTTTGTTTTTGATTATCAGCATTATGTAGGCTTATAGTTACAATAATATTTAAACATAATGATATTTATACATGATAAATCTAGTGCGCAACTTAAGCAAAAATCATTTTAAAAATGTACATTTAGTTTTCGGGCCCAAACAAATATTTGTTGCATTTTTTAATTAAGTTCATTTGATTGACTATGTACAATTTTTAAGCCATGTTTGATGTTTCATTGTTGAATTAAACATTTTTTAGGGTCTATGTATACATTGCTTTTTTGTTGATCTTTATTTTGGTAATCATTAACTGTGTGCATCGGCAGGCAGTTTTTGTTATGTACATTAGTTAATATACTGAAGGCTCCCTCAAAAGACACAGGCACACACAAGATGGACTTCCACTGTGTATTTTAATTTAATTCATTCATTCATTTTCTTGTCGGCTTAAACCCTTTATTAATCCGAGTCACCACAGTGGAATGAACCGCCAACTTATCCAGCAAGTTTTTACGCAGGGGCTGCCGCAACCCATCACTGGGAAACATCCACACACACAATTAGCCTACCCCATCCACCTATAGCGCATGTCTTTGGACTGTGGGGGAAACCGGAGCACCCGGAGGAAACGACCAGCGACCTTCTTGCTGTGAGGTGACAGCACTACCTACTGCGCCCACTGCATCGCCCATGTATACACTTAAACACTTAAAAATGAAAGCTTTAAAAAAAAACTGCATCAAAGCTTAACAAGTTATTTTTTTCAACAATTTGGCAATGGTGCCATTTTTGTTGGTTTCTAATCCATTACTTTTAAAGTTTGTTTGTAAAGTGACAATACAGGCTTAACAATTGACTGAGTAGCTTGACCCCATTGCACATTAAGACATACGTGATAATATTATAGCATGCTCAAACATTTGCGCTGCTTCAAGAGATAAATATATATGGTCTTATAATCTTTAAGCAGTAAAAATTTGTTTTAATAGTCTTGGACATTTTCTTAACATGGGCATCAAACTTAAGCTTAGAGTCTATAGCAGGGCTATTCAGCTGGTTACGGGGGCTAGTTTATGAAAAGCATCCCTAACAAAGGGCCGGAGAGATAGGACTTGCTTAATGAGTGATAACACAACTGTTTATAAGACCCCATATGCTGTATTTTTCCCACGTTCTCGTTTTCTACATTAAAATGCTAATATATTGTATTTCGAAACTACACATATCAGTGCATTGAACGACTTTTTTTTTTACAAACATCATTTCAGAGCACAACAAAAGCAGTGCAATACTGAAGTAGGCTTCGTCTACCTTCAGACACATTCATTTATAATTTTTTGAACTGCATAACAATTATGGGTAAGCGATTATAAATTTTGGTTGTATGATAATATAGTCTGAAGAATAATCATGGTTTCATGATTATCACGTCTAATGTAAATTCAAGATAGGTTAATCGTTGCATCTCTATTGACTATATCAATGCATAGTACACAAGGTCTTTTCTGCAAGCACATCCAAATGTTTTCGGCTGCTCGCGCCTCACTTTTGAGGTGACTCTGCGCAGCCACTGCAGCTTGTGTTGTATTGAACAGACACACGTCACTTCATAACTAAAACGGATGTTTTTTGACTGAACTAAATTTATTTTTGATGTCTTGGTCACACTATTTGGAGGGCTGGAATAAATTGCCTCTGGGGCCGGGTTCGGCCCGCAAGTCGCTAATTGAGTACCCCTGGTCTATAGTGGCATTTAAATTCACTTACTTCCTTGATTTCCTTTTGGTCAATTTAAATTTTAAATACACCCAGTGCTTTGCTTTTGTAACAAAAAACACATTGAATATGTTTTACTAAGATATAAAATAAGTCTCTGATGTCCCTAGAGTGTGTATGTAAAGTTTCACCTCAAAATGCCACACAAATAATGCTTTATAACTCTTTGAAACTGCCCCTTTTAGGCTTTGATCTAAATTGTGGCATTTGTGGTGACTGTTGCTTTAAATGCAAATGAAATTGCACTCCTATAACTATTTTCCAAAGAGGGTGGAGCTACAAATGCCTGTGTGTCAGCATAGCGGCAGATTAAAAAACGAGACTTATTTACTATGCTAATGAGGGAGAGATCACCACTAATGGGTGGGGCTTTCCCCTACTGATGACACGTACAAAGGGAGAATGTCAATCAAAGTTTTTCTGCAGACTGTTTTTATGAATTGTGATTATAAAAACAATGGATTTATACATTTTTACTATTAGAGGCTGGTTATATTCACAAATTGCAAAACAACTGTGTTTAAACCGCTTATAAAAGTATTTTTTGCATAATAGATCTCTTTTAAAACATCCTAAATACTTGAATAATACTTGAGTTTTCCACAAAATCTAAATTTGTCTTAAGCTTTGTAAAAGTGTTTCACACTTTGTTATGTTGTTTTGCACTTCCCTGCCACCGTGTTTATCAGATTGTAACCTGATCATACTTTTTTACTTCACAGACAGAGAAACTTGCAAGACTGGAAATGTCAGATTCATTTACCAGAAACTTACCAGACAAGAAGAAGGAAATCTCGCTGCTAGAACACACACAATGCCAACTACAATGACCTAAACACACAAAAACATTTCAAAATAAATAATGCTCTTTATTAAATGCACTGATTAAACTAAACAATATGGGACCAGAGTCTTACCACACTACCAATCCAAAAGGGTCCAAAGGCTATGAGGTACATGTTAAAATAATATCCAAGGTACATGAACGAAATCCCCAATGCAATATTGATGACCCCAATGATCATCTGGACAATCTATGAAACAAGAAAACAAATTAAAGTAAGACAGTATGACACTATATAACAGTATGATACTGTTAGTCAATCAAACTTTGGCACATTTTCAAAAATGCGGTTAATAAGTATTGTAGCAAGAAAAACATCAGTGTGTGCACATCTAGAAGATTCTTGAAGGCTTGTGCTCAAACCAAACACAATAGAAAAAGTAAAAACAACAACAACAACAACAACAACAGCATCAGCAGGTCACATGGGAAACACAACAGAACCTAAGATATAGTAACTATAACTATATATAACCAGGCCTGTAGCCAGGGGGGGTCGAGTGGTTTGAAAGGTCCAGAATTAGTTCCATACATGAGCTCATTGGTCCGATTTTGACTACTATGCCATCTAAAAAAAGAACTCATAGAAGAATGCTTTAAGACTAATGAGAATCTGAAGTGGAGTCATCTTTCATTAACGAATTATTGTATTGTTGTTAAATAGAGAATTTTTTTAATTATATTCCTTTATGCTTATATATATATAAGCATAAAGCATATATATAAGCATATTATATATATATATATATATATATATATATATATATATATATATATATATATATATAAATAATTTTTTAGGGGGTTTCACCTTTATTTGATAGGCCAGTGGAGTTAAGAATACATGGGGAGCAGAGAGAGGGGGGAAAAATGGGCAAAGAACATCAAGCCAGGAATCAAACTCAGGTCGCCACGAGCACCTCAGTGCTTTATGTCAGCACACTTTACTACTAGGCGATCAATTATTCTAAATCTTTAGGAAATGTTTTGGTACATCAAAAAGTGTGGTTATGATGACCACCCGACAAGCTAATCCAGAAATAAATAAAAATCTTAAAATGCCATTAAAATGTGTTTAAACTAAACATTTCACTTTGTAGTTAAATTAAAAAATGAGTCAAATAACTGCAAAAAGGTCAATTTTTTGAGAAAAAAGAAGCACATATTTCACCTGGCGGCATGTGATTGACAACTATATCAATATATAGTAATAATAATTATATCTTGAGGTCTCCTGCACTGAAAAAAAATATTCAAAGATGATTCTTTGGTTATACTACTTTTTCATGTTAAGTAGTAGTAAACTATTTATCTGGGCTTAATTTAAACAAACTAATTAAGCTGAACATTACTCGATTTTATTTATTTGTTTAAATTCAACACATATAAATTGTTTGCAACAACTTTGCAGACATAATTTTTTTTAGTGTTTGTTACCTGTGTGACCTAATGAAGACTATGTAGGTTGAAATGTTGTTATATTAAATCTGTTTTGCTAAATTGACTTCTTATTGTTATTAAGTATTCACACATTGTTTCTAAAATATTTTATATTATCTGTTATATATATATATATAGTGGATAAAAATGTAAATTGTAGTAAATTGTGTTTTAAAACACGCTTATGAAAATAGATAAGGGCCTGCTTGTACATTTTTATTTGTCTGGAATTTAATATGTATAGTTATGTGTTTGATAAAAAAGTCTTTGTTTTCTTCTGTAATAAAATAATAAAATAAAATATTTTAGTGCCCAATTTTTCCGTTCTGAACATTTGTTTTTGCATAAAATAACAAAAAAATGTTCCAAGTTTACATTATATTTTTGACAACCAAGATTTTTAACTTCTTGGGATCAACTGAAGAATATTATGCCCAAATTTTTTAATTCATTCATTTTCCTTTGGCTTAGTCCCTTTATTTATCTGAGATCACCAAAGCGGAATGAACCACCAACTTATCAAGCATATGTTTTACGCAGCAGATATCCTTCCAGCTGCAACCCATGCAGAAATACCAACTGACCCAGCCGGGTCTCAAACCAGCAACCTTCTTGCTGTAAGGTGACAGTGCTAACCACTGAGCCACCACGTCGACTAATTCTTATCAATAATGCAAATTTTTAAATGGCTCATTTTTATATTTTACTCATAAATAATTTATTTTATTTAACCAATATATTTATTTTTTATTCAACTCATAATTCATTAGTCTCTTAATAAAACAAGTATGTTGTAACCTAACTACAACCCAACTGTAACATTGTGGAATGTTGTACAAATATTTGCTCATCTCAGATGTTTTGCATGTTTCAGATTCTAATAAATCAATCTTAAGTATCCTTAAAAGCAGAAAACCTGATGATACAAAAAATGTGTTTTGCAATAAATGTATAAATAAGTGTCTGACTGACCCCAAGACCAATGTTGACGCTCTCCAGCTTTCCGATCGTAATCCGAGACACAGAACACAGTGGAGTGTAGCACAGATAACCCAGAATCTGGCACAGAATGGGCCATTTACTCTTCGGGTTTGAGGTGACGGTGACGACCGCCAAACCCTCATTCTGAGACACGGTCAGAGGCATGTTGTAGACAGGTGTGTTGAACTTCCCACAGGTAACAACGACCAAAACTCCTGTTTGTTTACTGCAAGAAACATTTAAGGATGATTACTTTTACAGCAGGACCGTCTCCATACCAGAATAAGTACAGTAGCATTCTATTTCAGTAGCAATGTAATATTCTATAAAGTAACATGACCTGATTTAATCCCTCATTAAAATGAAATAGCTGATTAAAGGGATATTCCACGTAAAAATGTATCTGTTTTTCATTTAACACATTTGGGATGAAAATTTTACAATATTATTGACTACCTATAAGGCCCTGAACAGCTCAGCTTCCCAGTATTTGAGGGAGCTTCTGGTGTATTATAGACCATCACGTCCACTACGCTCAATTAATTCTGGACAATTGATTATTCCCAGAATATCAAAATCAACTCTAGGCGGTAGATCTTTCTCATATCTGGCACCTAAACTCTGGAACAGCCTTCCTAGCACAGTTTGGGAAGCAGACACACTCTATCAGTTTAAAACTAGATTAAAGACACGTCTCTTTGCATTAGCATACACATAAAACACAAAAGCTTTTGAAATCCAAATCCTCTAAAAGCAGTGGTTCTCAAACTTACTTCTAGTGGTACGCGGAGGAATCTCTGAGTAATAAAAGTAAAAATGAATAAAATTTTAATCATTTGATGCGTACGATAACACCATTGTGATCAGCATTGACTGTTCTCTACAGCCTACGATCAAAGTGCTGTGCTTAGAATGTTTACTTTAGTGTATTGCGTTATCAGCTGCTAAAAGGCAATCCAAAAGGGTACGTATATGCTGAAGCATGCTAATGGGACTTTTAATTTGCCATTAACCTGGGTTAAGCGCTTCCGGCGAACTGTATGCAATGCAAAAACCGGCGCGTTTAAGGTCTGTTTTCTTTAAAAATCAGCGATCTCAGCTATCTGAGTGATATCCGATATAAAGTGGGTCTCAGATTGTACAAGAAGCACTGCATTGAATTACATTTCCCCCCGCCATGTCTTTGTAACATGAGCATTTATTTTTCCCCAGTATATTCAATGGAGCTTCTGCGCTAGCCTGCCGATTCTGACGGGCGTGTGCGAGTAAACAGCTTTTTGTCTTGTTTTACGCTTGAACAACTAAATGAATGCCAAAGTTTATTTAATTGAATGTATTTTAATGACATTACACCATCGATGCTGTAAAAGGAACTGTATAAAATGGGAAAAAGTTCACAATAACAGGTCAGCGGAAGTTTAGCAGTATGGGAAAAACACTAGCTCAGCATATACGCTATAGACGCAGAACTAAAGAAAGAGGCGCGTTGCAGAACATATACGCGCTAGAGCAGTGGCTTCCCTGCTGAAAAATCCAGCTTAAACCAGCCTAGGCTTGTTTCAGCTGGATTTTTCAGCAGGGACCCAAGTCATTAATTATTTCCATTACATCTCGGCCACCTGAGCGCCAAAATTTAACCCACAGCCAAGCAAAATGAGTACTGTCAACGAAGAGATCCGCAACCAATTTATCAATTCAGGTGAATCCAGCATGTCTGTTCAAGAAGATCAACTGCTGGAGATCGCAAATGATGACGGCTGTTCACATATCGCACCATTTTCACGCACAAGTTTATTATTTATAATAATAATAATTATAATTCCTTACATTTATATAGCACTTTTCTGGGCACTCAAAGCACTTTACACATAGTGGGGAATCTTCTCATCCAACACCAGTGTGCAGCATCCACCTGGATGAAGCGATGGCAGCCATTTTGCGCCAGACCTCACACCACACACCAGCTGATTGGTGGAGAATAATGAAGGAGCAAGCAGTGCGACGCGCTCGCGTATTCCAGGTGTCCCCAGTTGAAAACATCTTAACTTTTTCGAATGCCGCACTGCGAGTCACGTGACAAGAAGCGACCGATCAGCTTCATAATTTGTATATTATTATATATATGAGTATAATTTTGGTAGACTAATTATCTCAGACAAACACAGAACATCCAAACATTGCAGTGCTTTGCAGTTTTCTCCATGAATAAAACTTGTATCAGAGCAATGTTTTTTATATATAATGCTTTAAAGTGGCTAACAATAATACATACACCTAATAATAGTAGTTAATCTGCCTCGTTTTTGAACTGTGCAGCGCTGTAGAAGCTTAATAAGGCCTACTACGCTACTGTATTTTAATACTGGTTATTATGGTGGTATTTGGAGAGATAATTTTTTTCTGAGGTGGTACTTGGTGAAATAAGTTTGAAAACCAGAGCTCTAAAGCATTGTTAGTTTGCATTATTTAGGGCAACCAGAGCTGGGACCACTTCCCAAAATACATTTTAAGTGAACGCCATTTGCACTTATGTTAGTCTATTTTTGTTTATTATTCTCGAGGTTTCCATAATCTTGGACCAGGCCGTATCCTGAGCAGCTGCTGTGGTGGTTTTGGAGGAGTGGAGAGCATGAGACTGATCCTTGTATGACCCCAGAGACAGAAGAGCCCTCGCATTGATCCTGAAGGGACAGCCTGTACACCAGCCGGTGACTTCTCCCACCTGCAGCTTCTCCACGATGGACGTCCAGCGTTCTCCAGCCCTGGCGCCTAGACTGCAGCTCTGCACAAGAAGTGCACAACTGAGCCTGTGTAACGGAGGCCAGCTAGGTGCTGTGCAGGTAAACCTCACTCCTCTGATCTCTAAAGGTGCTCTAGCGACAGACGTTAGAGGCCATGGTCTTTAGCCTCCTTGGTAGAGCAACTGCCTCCCATGCGGAAAGTCGCCGGTTCGATCCCAGCTCGGAGTGAATTGGGTGCCATAGGACTGGCGGGGTTACATTAGTGCCTTGACCCGGATGGGAGTGAGGTTTAGAGGGGTGAGTGTAACGGAGGCCAGCTAGTAGGTGCTGTGCAGGTAAACCTCACTCCTCTGACCTCTAAAGGTGCTCTAGCAACTTATGCTAGAGGCTATGGTCTTTAGCCTCCTTGTTAGAGCAACTGACTCCCATGCGGAAGGTCGCCGGTTCGATACCAGCTCAAAGCGGGTTGGGTGCCGTTGGACCGGTGGGGTTACACCTGCTTTCTTTCGAGGTTTTTAATTCTTCACTTTCGCCAATTGGTGAAGTTTTTTCCTCGCCACTGTCGCCACTGGCTTGCATGGGTCAGGACTCGTGGAGCTGCGCATCGATGGATTTGCTCTTCAGTGTTTGAACTCTCAGAAATGCATATTAAACCACACTGAACCGAACTAAACTGAACTTCAACTCTGAAAACTGAACTGACAGTTTCAATTAACTTTAATCTTCTATGTGAAGCTGCTTTGACGCAATCTACATGGTAAAAGCGCTATAAAAAGAATTTAATTTAATTCATCTTTAAAGCCATTCACATGCAAAGTAGGAACAAAAATACTATGACGGTTTCCAGCATTATTCAAAATATCTTCTTTCGTGAAGAAAGAGTCAATCATGACAGTTGTTTTATTTTTGGGTGAACTGGTCCTTTATGTTTTGTAACATTCATGAAAGATTTATAAGAGTCTGTGCAATAGCCCTAATGCATTATTTATTGTTATCCATGAAGAAATTGGTGATGCTGAAGTTTAACAACAGTTTATTCATCACCTTTACATTCTTGTCCTATTTTTTGCTTTGTTTTTAAGTATTGAAGATTATCATATTTGAAAAAAAAAAAAACAATTTTAACTTAAACTCACCTGTTATGGCACGTCTGTATGTACGTCTCAGTCGCTCCACAGTGAATATGACAGGAATCTGCTTCTGTTTTATTTCTTCAGTCCTGTTTTCGTTGATGGAGGCGGGGTTTGGGTTTTTCCCGGCAATAACTTCCCTGTGGCTAAAGAAACTGGTATAACAGGAATAAAAAAATCCACTTCTAATGATCTCATGTATGTATTGTATGTGTGTTCGTATAAACACAAAGCGAGCAGTAACATATATCACCACTGAATAATATCAAAGTCATAATCATGTCATGTATACTGATTATTAACTAAACGAACATACCTGTTGATGATGACTTCTGACAAACCTGTTTGGGTTTTTTTTTTGTGTTGAACACAAAGGAAGATAAGGCAACATGGTGATTTAGTGGTTAGCACTGTTGGCTCACAGCAAGGGCTGTTTCTCGATTCCAAGAACGCAGAGAACGGACTTGCGTTCTTGTGGAGACCGGTCTTGCCAGGTGTCCTCGGAAGAACGAACTCAGGAGACCGCGAGGGCAGAGAACGCGTCCTTTGAGAAATGGGATGCTGCGTTCTTCCTGATGGTCATGTGACCTTCACGTGTTTTAAATGGAAATTATTTAAACATTACAGCACTCATACAACGATTTATTGTTTCCCCCCTCTTCAAAATATATAGGCCTACTTTGCATAAAAACATTAGAAATATACTCTGCACAATATAAATAAAACAGATTTCAATACGAATTTCAGCAAACAACTCTTAATGTGTTTATTCCTTTATTAAGATGTTCATGTTAATGTTTACTTTCACCGTTTCATTTTGGGAAACTCCTGAGGTAAATAAGTGATATCTCTAAACTTTAATAATAAATCTAAATAAAATTCATGTTCTTGATGCCAAATTCTGACCCTACCATCCTAATGTTGCAGCAGAAATCGAGACTCATCAGACCAATCAACGTTTTTCCAATCTTTTTATGTCCAATTTTGGTGAGTCTTTGTGAATTGTAGCCTCAGTTTCCTGTTCTTAGCTGACAGGAGTGGCACCCGGTGTGGTCTTCTGCTGCTGCAGCCTATCCGCCTCAAGGTTGGATGTGTTGTGTGTTCAGAGATGCTGCATACCTCAGTTGTAACGAGTGGTTATTTGAGTTTCTGTTGCTGTTCTATCATCTTAAACCAGTCTGGCCATTCTCCTCTGACCTCTGGCATCAACAAGGCATTTGCGCCCACAGAATTTCCACTCACTGGATATTTTCTCCTTTTAAGACCATCCATGGTTGTGTGTGAAAATCCCAGTAGATCAGCAGTTTCTGAAATACTCAGACCAGCCCGTCTGACACCATAAACCATGCCACGTTCAAAGTCACTTAAATTACCTTTCTTCCCCATTCTGATGCTCGGTTTGAACTTCAGCAAATCGTCTTGACCATGTCTAAATTTGCTTTGAGTCACTGCCTTGTGGCTGGCTGATTAGAAATTTGCGTTAACAAGCAGTTGGACAGGTGTACCTAATAAAGTGGCCGGTGAGTGTAAGTATTTACACTATTTTCCTTTTTGAAATATAGATTTTTTTATTTACATATATTGTTTACTATATTATTCTTTATTCTCTTGTTTAATCCTTGTTGTTTCATTCATGCATGCGAAATACTTTTCTAGTATACTAAAACTGCACGCTTGTTCTTGTACGGTGAATTCGCGGACACGCCACACCACTAGAGGCCGCTGTGGAACAACCGGCGTTTGCAGCACTTTTCTCCGCTGCTTGTTGGTGCGATGATGTAATGAAGTAAAAGAAGAGTAAAGATGGCGGAGAATAGCGGCACGGATCCTGCCGTGGAGACGAACACTGAAGAAAATGCCGCCGCTAGCGCGACTATCATTAAGGTTACCGTCAAAACACCGAAGGATAAAGAAGAAATAGCCATCGCCGAGGACGCATCTGTCGCACAAGTGAGTTTATTCGCGGTTTCTTGTAGTTTGTTTCACCCGGGCGTTCATTACACCAGCGGCTAACAGCTTTAGCCGACGAGCTAGCAGTTGACGACGCACAGTCCCAGCCGAAACCAGTCGCCTTGGACATCGAAAACAAATTCATGCTCATGTTATTAGTTAGATGTGGTTATTTTGATCGTGTTATGTGTAGTTTTGTGTTTTTTAAAACCAGTGTAATGTGTGATACTCTAACTCGGCGTTGTCGTTAAACAAACGGCCTGCTCTGGTATAGAAGGTTCTAGTCTGTCATCTTTGGTCGCGCTCTTTCTGTTTTGATTTCTATTGTTGACTTTAGGATCATTCGAGGGATTTAAATAACATGTTAACTGATCTTTTAATCAAAAGGTTGTGTTTATAGTGTTTATGTGCGTTCATTTGACCAACAGCGGTTATATGTTGAGGTCTAAGTTACAATATCAGGTTGAATAAAAGGAACTACGTTGTTGCACAGAAATCAAATATACTGATCTGATTTCATTATAATTCGCATGTTTTTATGCTCTTAACAGTTTAAAGAGGAAATCTCCAAAAGATTTAAGGCGAAGCAAGACCAGTTGGTTTTGATTTTTGCTGGTAAGATCCTGAAAGATGGAGACACTCTCGGTCAGCATGGCATTAAAGACGGACTTACGGTTCACCTGGTCATCAAAACAGCACAAAAGTAAGAAGGCCTGCGTTTGGGCTGAAAACAGACCTGATCTCTTCATATGCTGAGTCATGTAGTGATGCTTCGTTTTTTTGAATGCCTAACTTATATAGGGTTTTTGTTTTTGTAGGACTTCGGGTGCTGGTAGTTCGCAGACCTCTGCCTCTTCTGGCCCTGGACCATCACAGGGCAGCCCCTCTGGAACCGATACCCCTAGCCCGGCTGGTAACCTGGGCACACCACAGGGCAGCGGGCCCTCCCCTACCCCATCACAGCCAGCCAATATACTAGGTGAATTGAGTTTTACAAATTTTTTGAAGGTTATTCCTGAACATCGTTATTGCGGTAAAGTTTGTTTTGTATTAACACATTTGGATTTTATCATTAATAATTTATTTTCAGAAAGGTATTCTTTGCAAATTCTAAATTATAAAACTATATTAGCAGACAGTGACTTTTAAAGTACAACAACTTAAACAGTAAAATAAACAGTGATAATGTTGTTTTTGAGGTCATACTTCCATGTGATTTCAGGCCAAATATTCAAAGTAGCATGGTAAAAAATACTGAGAGCATGTTACAAGTGTTCACTGAATGAATGTCCGACTATAAAACCAACTTTACTTCATTAACATTGTTGAGGAGTTGCTTTGGGACCGCAGTTAATAAATAAACTGTTTTGTTAATTTACAAATAAGGTGTAAAGTTAAGACATTGAATAAAAAAGACAAAAGCACATAATCTCTTATACCTAAAGTTTAAATGGGACCTGAGAAAAAAAGTTAATATGTTTTAATATTATAACCTTTTACAACATTTAATTGAAACGATTAATTGAAGTTTTTTTTTTTTTTGTAGCTTAAAAATAAAATTAATAAATGAAAGTTACATTAAGTTGGAAATGACAATGTGTATTACAACCATCAACCCCAAACATCCTCAAAATTCTCCCGCTCTTCTCGGATGTGATTGCGGGCCAAATCAAAGGTTACAATGGGCCAACCTTGGCCCGCAGGCCTTAGTTTGAGCATCTCTGTTCTATAGAGAGACAACACTTATCCTTTTGATTAGCATTATTTATTTTGGGTTGTGCAGTTGAATTCACAGAATTTCGACAGAGTGTTGTAGGCTGTAAACTCGCAGACTTTTTTGGTCACATCCATAACGCATGTTTTAAATTTTTCTCATTTAAAATATAAATACATTATATGTGTATTTTATAAATTTTACAACTATTATGCTGCGACTAGGCCCCGGAACGATTTTTTTTCCAAGGTACACCGCAGTTTGGAAAAGTTCATTTTCTGTTATACCTTTTTTATGGTATATGTAAGATTTTATTAAATTTTTTATTTTTTAACAGATTCATTTACAATTTAAAATGAAATTTTTACTGTGTTTTGGAAACTAATGAAGGCAGTAAAAGTTAATGGTTTCATTTGAATTATTTAGCCTGACATGTTTACTGTTTTTTTTTTTATTTAATTTATTTTATTTTTCTTTTTACTCGGACATTTAAAAAGTATATATTTTAAAGCAGTAATCACAATGCCGTCAAACCGTGATAATTTTATCCAAGGTTATCATACCTTCAGAATCATATACCGGCCCATGCCAAGCGGCGACCATTGTTAAAATCATTTGTCTAAAATTATTAATATTGATATTAATAACAATATCTTTGTAAATCTTTTTGAATATTTGTACCTCTATTGACTATCTTTTAATGTGTAACAATTATATAACACTCTTTGTAATCCTTCAAATTTCTTTTTAAATACTTTAGTCAACATTTAAAGTGGATCATCACCTTTCATGAAAATTGTCCTAAAACTATTGAACAGCACCTGTTCTTGTCCTAGGACAATTTGGAAGAAAACATTTGATTCACTTCGAATGCGGACTACTATAGTTAATAATCATATTAATAAAGCCTTAATGAAACCCAACATAATTAGGTTATAAAATGATGAATTAATAATTGACCAAAATGGCGAAAACCAAAGAGAAAATAAATACTAAGTAAAAATAATCTACAATTCAAATTATGTGCCTTCTATAATTCCAAAAATAAATTGTAAACTTTAAAAAAATGTAAATAGATATAGCAGCTAATTAAAAATTTACTAAAAACTTTAATAATGACTCGTAATGCTGGTTGTGTAACATGCACAAAAAGAATTGCACAATTTATTGACTCACTGACAGATATGTGTTCTTCTCTGATGCCGTTTCAAAGACTTTCTAGATCAACTTTTTTTATTTTGTTTGTTTACTCTTGTGGGTTTTCAGCTGGATTTGGTGACCTCTCAGGTCTCTCTAATCTTGGTATGGGATCTGCCAACTTCATGGAGCTTCAGCAACAGATGCAGCGACAGCTCATGTCCAACCCGGAGATGCTGTCTCAGATCATGGAGAATCCACTTG